TCTTGGACGCCTCCGTTTCGTGAGAGCGTTTCCGTTCCATTGTTTGTGCTCGTGCCGTCTTTCTGTGTAGCGATCGGGGAGTCAGTCACGCGGCGGTACGCGCAATCGAGGTCGGGAGCTGTGGCTATCAGCGGACAAAGCGAGGATGGCAGCAGCGCTACGTACCTGGATGTACTGTTAGACTGTGTCGCGCCGTGCGCAGCCCAGGACCAAGCGTGGCGGCGAGACGGCTCACCTGAGATAGGCTGCCAAGGGTAGACGGTCAGAGCTCGACCCGTCAGGTCGGCTGGCGACCGAATCAGTGCCATGCGCTGGACTTGATGAGTTTGGGAGGCGAGGTGAACAGCGGCTTGTAATGACGCTCGCCAGATCACCCACCTGGAGAGATGTAAGCGGAGGCTTCCATAGCAGCACTCCGCGTGGCGTTATCGTTGTTTCGTTTCTAGACGGATTGCTGTCTTGGTGATAATGGCGCAGCGACAAAAGCAGGATAGCGGACAATGCTGGCAACAACGCGGGGTGTCGCCCATAGACCCTTCCGCGACTGTACGTCTTCACAACTTACCAGGGGTAGGTTCTGGCTCCTCGAGACAAGAAGCGTTGTGCTCTAGGGTGCCAGGGGTAAAGATTAGCGCTCAACCCATTCCTGCATCCTGGCAAGGCCAAACGGGTGTGAAGCGAAGTGAGGGGTGTGAAGCGAAGTAAGGTGGTGCGCAGCGGAAGGAGCGGGATGTGATGGTGGGCAGCAAGATGGTGTGAAGCAAGCGAGATGGTGTGAGGGTCAGCTAGGCGCCTATTCTGGCTACCAGGCAACGGCAAGCAAGTGCGCGACGCGACCAACACCGTGGCGCTGACGAGGCCTCAACCGCACGAAGAGAATGCCCCTGTTGAAGGGGCTACGTGAGCCACGGCGAGTGCTGACACTTTGCCATCGAAATCTAACGCACTCTTCACGGCGACCGTCTCGGCAGCTTGCTGGGCACGGAGGACACCAGTCTACTACCCTCATAATGGAGCAAGTCATCAGGTCGTCCTGTCAGCCTGGAACAAAGAAAGCACGTCCCGAGTCTCAATATCAGCTCACGTTCCAGCTTCTGCAGAAGCCGGATACCTGGAAAGCGCCTGCAACGACAAGAACCATGACAAGACGTGGAGATAGCTCGTCTGGTGCAGCATATGCGTCTCCGGCCGGCGAATCGGCTCATTCACGCACGATCATGGCATGCATATCTTGCAGGCAGCGGAAGGTTGGTCTCGTGTATTGGCCTTCGAGCTAGAATACTAATGCCGCTGCAGGTTCGATGCAGCGGTTTCCAAAATACGGCGCAAGGAAAGTGTCACAGATGCTATTGGCAAGGGCAGGAATGCACTTTTCAGCCAATCTCAGATGACAGCGCCGGAGCCCTTCTGCGGGCCGTCGCCGAGAGCTATACGCATGGTAGCCGGGATCGCTGGCTGGCTGGTCCAGCACCAGTAGTAAATACGAGCAGAGGCACCTTTGAATTGGAACCACGACCACTACACCCGCAAATTAACCTATATCACCCAGCCACGTTTGCAGAAAAATGTTGGACCGTCTACACGACGGTAGACATGCAAAGCGCCCGACGACCAGACCGACACGCGACCCTGGGCGTGTTTGACATACACCACGCTGAGACCTATGCTGACGAACTCGCAACGGATACATCAAATATGTGGGCCGGCAGCCCCGGTTGTATAGATTGCAGATTTGGGGAGGGGGGAATGAGGCACTCCACCAACTCAGCCTCGGGGACTGCTGGACGCACGTTGGCGGTGATGAGCTTGAGTAATTTGGTCCATGACTTCAATGCGACACCTCGACAGTCTCAACAGTGAGAGACAAGTAAGGAGTCAAATGGAGAGTGCTGGGTGGCCGAAAATGCCCGCCGACGTGACGAAGACACTGCGATACCGATCCAACCAAACATTCCACACCAATTTGACGAACCCCGAGGCCTTACCGGGTCGTTGCTACAGTTGCGCCAACAGCCTGTTCCCTGGTGACTGCGTCATCTTGGTCCTTGGTCATCCCAGTGGCTATAAGCATCTGTTTTGTCCGCCCTAAGACTCGTGCTACTGTACAGTGTGAATTTACAGGTGTGGCCACTGCGTTTCTCGGCTACGGAGATGATCTAGGCGGCCGCGGGCATCATGAACCCTTCGGGTTTAAGGCCTCGGAACTCATATACTACGCACCCAACTTTTGTGGTTCCTCCTATGCCACCGTTATTGCCTCAAACCCTGTCAGCTAACTTGGTACGTTGGTTTCAGGATGGTAAACTTACATTTCTTGAAATTCTGCTCCATAGCGTCTATACATGTCTCCAGCTCAATCGTTTCTTCTGCAGGGCATCTCTCGTCCCAGCCAGTCCAGCGTAGAGAGAAGAGGTACCTACCGTCATCACGCATCCTGAAACTTTGATAAAAATATTGTGTAAGATAACCTGGGTTTTCTGAGCTTAATTGCCTCCGCGTTTGCCTGCAGAAATCGTTGAGGAGATGGGCCTGTTTGCCTGGATCTACTTTGCCGCGGCGATCCGCGTTTTTCTCCACAGCGCAGAACGTTTCCGCCCTTGAACGTGGAGCCGATGCGTTCCATGTAGTTCCTGAGGACTGCGCCGCGTCAGCATACGCCGTAGAGAGTCGACTACCGTGATCTGTCACTGATGGGCCCTTGGAAGTAGCCTCCTTATGTGATTGAGTCGGCTTACGGGACTCACCAAGCCACTTGAAACTGGCACTCTCTCTGGCACGTCTGCTGGTCTTGAACGAGTGGTCGAAGAATTGGACGCATCGGTGTCAGCGGTCCCGGTCGGCGTGGGATTAGGTGGATACTCCCAATCGAAGAAGCCTCGAAACTCGTACAGGACGCAGCCAAGCTTGGTGATCCCTCCCTTGCCGCCGTTATTGCCTGTCACTGGTCAGCTCGTACCTCAAACGGATAAGTGAGGGCTAACATTTCCGGAAGCTTTGCTTCATCATGTCGATACAAGTATCTGTGTCGATTGTCTGCTCCGCGGTGCAATTCTGGTCCCAGCCAGTCCAGAGCAGAGAATAGAAGTAATAGCCTTCGGCGTACGCTTTCGCCGGTATTGGCGCCATTTCCCGAGCATAGCCTGGGTTTGTAGCGTTCAAAGGGGCCCGTTTCTCGCTGCAGAAAAGACCAGCTAGTTCAGCCTGTCTGTCTGAATTGAATCCGGGGCGCCAGCGCTCAAGCTGCTCGTCGATGCAGAAAGTGACAGGGTTCGGATTTGAGTACGGA